CGTCCGAGCAGCTCAAGGAACAAGGTAGAAGAGTGCTATATTCTGCGATGGGCTCGAGCGCGGACGGTAGGCAACGACTTGTTCAAGAGCGCGCAGTTTGAAAAGGCCATTGGCATTTACACGGAAGCCATCGAGGCCTGCGAGAAGGACTCGTCGCCCGTCGCGATCTCGTGCTACAACAACCGCGCTGCGTGCCACCAGCAGCTCAGCAACTTCTCCGCCGTCATCCGCGACTGCTCCCACGTCCTCGAAGTTGAGGTCAGGCGATTGCAACACTTGATGATGTGCTCATGTCAACGACTATGCTAGCCGACGAACCAAAAGGCGCTGCTGCGCCGTGGCCTTGCGTACGAAGGCCTCGAGCGCTACCGCCTCGCGCTCCAGGACATTCGTGCGCTCCTCGCTCTGGACCCGTCCATCGACGTACGCCAAGTTTCCATCATGTCCATGGACGATGCTAACGATTCCACTAGATTGCCAACAAGGCCCAGCACCGGATTGGTGCGGCCGTGCGTGCGCTCAAGGACATGTAGAGTCATCACCCTTTGCTAAAATAAACGAGCGCACAAGCACGGAGTCCTGTCTACACGGTCACTTTATCAGTAGCATCCACCTGCGGCGGTGGCGAGCCAAGCGAAGCATGCCCTTGTGGCGAGCAGAGCCATTGTGCAGTGACTGGAATCTCGTAAAGCTCCGAGTCGGCTTGTCAGTGGCGATGCGAAATCGAGCTATATAGTCTGTCAAGATGCAGGTGGCACTTAGTCGACCACCTTTTGTCCAGTCGGTGGATATCTGCTTCACATGCAGGAGGTGCGGAGTTCGAGACCCGTAGGTGTTGTCCCTTCTCATTCCCATTCGCATTAACATTGGAAGGAGGTCGTTGACTAGCGACTCGAGATAGCACACTGCCGGTTTAGAGCACGGGCGTATACACTGTTGCTTGGCATTTTAGGCCCCTGGGGACCCTTGGGGACCCTTGGGGACCCTTGGTTACTCAGCGCCGCAAGGTCTAGGACACGGCTCGTTCGACATCGTCTCGCCATGCATCGTCTAATGGCTTTCTGTACTACGGCTGTCTCCTCTCTTCTGTACACTGCGATCGCCCAAGACAAGAGACGCGCATCATTCCTCTTCGCCTCGGGCTTGGCAGTCGTGAGCGCAACAATGAAATGTGCCTCGTGCGTCGCCTCCTCTTACTTCCTTAGCATCCACGCCCAGAGGCAATACAAGTAGTCCATAGCACATTTCGCTCTTTAGTCGTAGAGAGCTATCGTTGAGAGGGCCATCCGCTCGGGCTGCCCTCTGTGCTTCCATTGCGTGAAAGTACCTAGATATTCTTGCTACTACAGTACAGCGTGTAGCGTGCCGACTGTTGATGTAGACGTCGGTGTCTGGACTGTCGTTGTTCGAGGTGGTGTTCTATCGCACCCACTGTACACGATGGCGATGATGCTAGGTAGGACGAATGCGTGGCAAAGGGATGTAAACGTTTGAAATGCTGTTTGAGGGAACTTGAAAGTAGCTGTGGAAGCTGCTACTTTCGTGTCTCTCCCCAGACGGGCTTACAATGGACGAAGAAGGTCCAGCGAACCAGTTTTTGCAGATCCATGCCCTTGCAGTCGGTACTCGTTTGGCCACGGCGCTCGCTATTATATTCTGGCAGCTCGAAAAATTAGTCGACGACCAACGAATCTCGACGTGCAGACAGAAAAGATCCATACCATCTGGCAGGTGCAGTCTACTGGTACTAGGTGGCGTCGTCGCGAGGCCACAAAAAGGCCGCGTGCAAAGACAGTCGCGACACCCGCTACGACAGTCTCCGGCTTGGCAAGGCGAGCACCCAGTCATGCGCTCGATAGGTCGTCTTTAAGAAGGCTCTACCGGAGTCCACAATGTGCTAGAGCAGTGTGCGCCACGAGAAACCCAGCTACGGAATCGCGTGCGCAGCTCGCATACCGGTACAGTGTATGCAGCAGACCGAAGAACCATCTGTTTTGGTCCGTCAATCGTGGCCGTTCGTCGTCGCTTGGTCAGAAACCCCACCCTCCATGCGTTTGTAAAAGACACTCAACGAGCGACGGCCTGTCTCCCAAGACGTGTGAACGCCGCGTCTGGTCACGGTGGCACTCAAGCGCGTACACACAGTTCACACGAAGATCAACTGACTGGCGCCATGGGAGCCAGCACCCAAAGCTGGCAGGTCTGCGGTAGAGACCGACATAATCTGGTCATCCCGCGGCGGCGCGTACAAGTACACCAACCTCCTCACTTTTCAATTTGCCACCTCCCTACCACCACCAAAATGAAGCTTTTCGCTGTTGCTTTTGCCGCGCTTGCCGCCCTCGTCTCGGCGCAACCCAGCTTTGACCCGGTCACCAACGCCTACCTCGTCGGGCTCTTCGAGTCGGCGGACGCCAAGGTCGACATGAAGGTCAACCCGTCCACCGAAGCGTACCTCGTGGGTCTCTTCGAAGCCTCGCAGGTGCTCACGTCCAAGTACATTTGCGGCGTGATTGGCGAGGGCGTCTCGAAGGTCCAGCTCGTCTTCCCGGAAGGCACGAAGAAGATCGAGGTGGGGGCCACGGGCAAGGTCGAGTACTTTGTCGAGAGCGCTGTCGGAGCCAAGGCCACGGCGTGCGACATTAGCGTCGCCGACCACGCGCCGGTGCGCCGCCAGCTTGAGGACGTGGAATATCTTTGGCCCATTTGGCCCAAGACGGTCAACGTCACGGGCATCTCGATCGAGGGCTCGCCGGCCGCGCCCAAGACTGTCTCGGCCGACTTGTCGGCCCATGGTGCGACGCTTGGTGTCACCATCACGCCCCCGTCGACGGCCGGCGCCCACGACGCCACGTTCAAGGTCGAGATGTTTGTTCTTGACTAAGACACCATCCATGTAATTGTACACCCGTTTTGACGTGTCGAGCTGTTTGAATCTGTCAAGAAGTTGTTCTGTCGGGTGCAAAGTGCAGAAGATACAGAGAAATATTGTGTTTATTC